ACCCAAACCACTGAACCTTCATGGACCCAAGTTCCATCATCTGAAGAATGGGGATGAGCCCTGCCCTCCTGCCTCCAGGGGCTGTTATAGGGATCAAATAAGAAAAGACAAAGGAAAAACCCGTCTGCTAGAGGAATGTCCAGGATCACTGCAAGAGTCTATGCCTGTAAAATGAAACTAGTAATAGTAGCTATTGTGAGAATTAAATCAATCACAGTTAGAGAACAGTTCCTAGCATTTTTCAAAGACTCAAAAGGTTAGGCTGTTATATAATTATTACTACTAGTATTGCTACTTCTGTTAATGACACTATTATCACAATTACTATTATGCCCTGCTACCCAGCTAAGGGATTCATAGTAAAGTAGAGAAGTGCTACAGTATAAGAAGTCTTTTTATTATTTATTTATTTACTTATTTAGAGACAGGGTCTCACTCTATCACCCAGGCTGGAGTACAGCAGCACAATCGTAGTTCAGGGTAATCTCAGACTCCTGGGCTCAAGCAATCCTCACACTTAAGCTTCTCAAGTTGCCAGAACTACAGGAGCATACCACCACTAATTTTTTCATTTTTTGTAGAGATGAGGTCTCTCTACAGACTGATCTTGAACTCCTGGCTTCAAACGATCCTCTTGCCTCTGCCTCCCAAAGTGCTGGAATTGCAGGCATGAGCCACTACACCCAGCCAAAAAATCTTTTAAAGGGGTTATCATGCTGGGTGCGGTGGCTCACACCTGTAATCCCAGCACTTTGGGAGGCCAAGGTGGGTGCATCACCTGAGGTCAGGAGTTCAAGACCAGCCTGGCCATCATGGTGAAACCCCATCTTTAAAAATAAATAAATAAATAAAGGGTTTATCAGTGTCACTTAGTCTAGAACTGGGATAACCAGCAGTAGATTCCTTATGTATTTTGTCCCTCATTGATGCAAAATTGAACAAAAAGTGCAGAAATCAAAACTGAAATTCATCTGCCTAAGATCAAGCTTTTCTGCTTCAAGAATTGGACTCTGAGGCCAGGCACAATGGCTCATGCCTATAATCCCAGCACTTTGGGAGGCTGAGGGGGGTGCATCACAAGGTCAGGAGATCCAGACCAACCTGGCTCACACAGTGAAATCCCGTCTCTACTAAAAATACAAAAAAATTTAGCTGGGCATGGTGGCACACGCCTGTAATCCCAACTACTTGGGAGGCTGAAACAGGAGAATCACCTGAACCCAGAAGGTAGAGGTTGCAGTGAGCCAAGATCACACCACTACACTCCAGCCTGGGCAACAGAGTGAGACTCCAACTCAAAAAAAAAAAAAAAAAATTAGACAGTCATGGTGGTACACACCTGTAGTTCCAGCTACTTGGGGGGTGGCTGAGGCGAGAATCACTTGAACCCAGGAGGCAGAGGTTGCAGTAAGCTGAGATCATACCACTGCACGTCAGCCTGGGCGACAGAGCAAGACTATCTTAAAAAAAAGAAGAAGAAAAGAAAAGAAATGGACTCTGGAGAATATTAAAACATTTGCTGGCTGGGCATTGTGGCCTGCATCTGTAGTTCCAGCTACTTGTGAGGCTGAAGTGGGAGGATCACTTGACCTCAGGAGTTCAAGACTGCAGTAAGCTATGACTACACCACTGCACTGCGCCTGGGAGACAGAGAAGATTCTGTTTCTTAAAATGTTTTAGAAATTATTACTTTTTTTAATCTGCTAAATATGAGGAGCAACTGAATACATCCTGAAAAACCTCACACAACTTTCCTGTGCAAGGATCCATTAGGAAAAATAAAATCAACCGTGTCCATGCTTTGTCCCTCTCACTTTATGAGCCAAATTAGAAGACACACTCTTGCCCTCAGCATAAAAATCAAACATTCAGAAATGCTCGTGGCAAAACTAAGAAATCAGACAACAGAAAAACATTTTTTATGTAGGGGCAGTGGGTGAGGAAGAGAACAATTACTCCCAAAATCTTAAGTCTCTCAAAAAATTGTCACAGAAGGAGGTCAGAAGTACAATCATCTGCCACAGGGCCCTACCTTTGAGAGTAGGGAACACTCACACATTGCTTTCCCTAGGCCTGGGAGGAGTCAGCCAAGGCCCTGGGGGCAAGGGAGCTCACTGTCGGATAATCATGAGGGACCTCACAAGACAGTTAACATGGAAGAGTCAGCAAAGGTGTGGAAGGCTGTACTCCAACCTCCAGAGTCCCACAAGCATCCTCACACACCAGCCCAAGGCTGCAGCTGGTACTTTGGGACACTGGCAGCCCTTCCTCCTGTCAAAATATGACGGGCCCTGTCCCTGGGTGAGGTCAGTGAGATTCAGGCGGTGGATCCCATCCCTCTCACCTCAGAAACACAGCTTTGGCAAATGCCCGGTCTCTTTCCCGCAGCATCGACTTCTCTCTCTCAATCGTCATTCCCATCATAACAAAACATGCTGTACAATCTCCCACTAATAAAAGAAAGGAAAACCTTCCCTCAAGCCCACATCCTCTCCATTACTGGCTAATGTCTCAACTCCACTTTGCAAGAAAACTACCTAAAAGATTTGCCTGATTGACTCCCCGTCTTTGCCCCATATTTTATCTTCCACCTACTCTAGTCAGGCTTTGTCCTGTAAGGCCTCTGTGATCACGCATTCTCCTGGGGTTTCTCCTGTCTTCTCAGTCTCCTTGCTGGCTTCACCTCTCTCCCCTCTAAACACTGCTTAGACCATCAGAACATCTCTCTTCTGTCTGTACTCTCTTCCTAAGGGATTTCATCTAATCCCATGGCCTTAAATAACATCTATTATACTCAAATGGATCTCTTCCGTCCTCTCTCCCCACCAAGCTTCAAATCACACATCTGATTATCTGACATACTCACATCTCAAATGTAAGATGGCAAAACAAAATCTCAGGATTCTCCTCCACCCCAAACCGGCTCTTTTCATCTCAACAATATGAATGCTATCCACTCAGGCACTAAGCCCTGAGGAGTCATCTTCACCTCTTCTCTTTCTCCCACAGACTTCATTCAATCCGTCATGAAGGTGTGAAGAGCCTACTTCCTAAACACAGCCTGAATGTGACCACTACGCCACGTCTCCTGCGCTACCACCTCAAGCAAGCCTCTGCTAACTCCTGCCTGGACGAGGGAACATCCTCAGTGGCTTTCCTGCCCGCCCTGCAGTGGCCACCTACAATCCAATCTCCTCACAGTGATGATTCTAAACACAAACCAAATCATGACACCTCCCTGCTTAAAACCCTCCGTGGCATTTCACTGGGATTAGAATAAAGTATGATAACACCTCACCCTCACTCACAAAGCTTTGCAGCATTTACCCCTCTCCTACCTGTGACCTCTCCTCACGTCCTGTTCACCACACTCCAGCCACCTGGTCCTCGTGCTCCTCAAGCTATTTTCCGCCTTAAGCCCTTGCCCTGGCTGTTCGCTCTTCCCGAAATGCTTTGCCACCTCATCATCCCATGTCTCCTTCTTGTCATTCAAATTTTACTTTAAATGTTGCCTATTCAGAACCGCCATTGATCTCCCAGTTCGACCAAGCCACCCAGTCACTCTATATCACATCACCTTATTTTAACTTTCTGCACAGTAGTAACCACAATCTGATATTATTCGTGTTTCTTTACTTATTTTCTATTTCCTTTTTTCCTCTCCCATTAGATTGCAAGCTCCATGAGCACCCAGAACTTGCCTGTTTTGTTCCCAAAGCCTAGAACAATGTGTGAACTGTGGTGCACAGGAAAATTGTAATAATATCAACTGATGCAGTTATGAGCCAGAGAGGCCCACTGATAGCAAGACTCTGACAGCCCCAGCCAACTCCCCAACTTCATACACACACGAGGCAGGTAACAGAACCGTAGCAAGGCTCTAGTCCTCAGATCTGTAAATCTCACCCAACAGTATTTTCAACTATTGTGCAAGAACTCAAACCAGAAAGAAGGTTCCGGGGTTATCTTCAAATAGGCTGCTTCACTACTAAGAGTAGTAGTTCTGACTCACAGTCCCCAAAGTACACCCAGTACTAGTCAGACCACCGTCCGGACCTTTGGCTAATTCATTCATTCGATGAACAAACATTTACCGAGTGCCTACTCTCTGTCGGGCACTGGGGCAAGGGGTCAAAGGCAGTTTCTGGCCTCCCAGAGCTCAGCGGACAGAGGGAAACATGCTGCAACACAGGCTGTCGCCCGAGTGGGAAAGCAAAGTCTATACTGACTTAGGAGCCTGACTCGTGCCTTCACTTACTGCCCCCCCCCCAACCCCCAGTCTGACATGGACCGATCCTACAGACCCAGGGTAACCTGGCTGGTGCGGCAACGCTCCCGGGCTTTTGCGGAAAAGTTGCCGCTGGACAAACAGAGGCACCAACGATCTCCCGGTTCAGCTCTGGCCGAAGAGACGCGGAGCGCTCGAGGAACGTCATTGGTTGAACAGTTCCACTCCCCTCCCCCTCCCTCCCCGCAGGCCCGCGCAGTGGATGGAGGCCGGGGGCGCGGTTCGACTCCCCACTACCATCCCAAACCCTGCGGCCGGAGAAGGAGGCCTCCTAAGCGAGGCCCTCTGTCTCTCCCTCTCCCCACCCTAACCCCGCAGGCCCGCACCAGAACAGAACTCCTAGCTCTACTCCCCCTACCCGAACCCAACAAGGTCCCGACACCCGCCTCTCCCGGTGGGGCGCAGCTGGAGACCCTAGCGGGGAGGCGTGCCCGGCCCTCACACCAGCTCCCGAATCCCGCCGCATCGCAAGGTCCAGGGCGCAGAGTCCGTGGCCCCTTTCCTGCGCCCAGGTCCCCAGCATCGATGCGGCCCCCACCGCCTCCCTCTCGGAGCCCGCCACACAACTCGGGCACACAAAACCCGGAGTGTGGCCGCGGCGCAGCGCGCGCTAACGAGCACAGGCCGGCGGGAGCAGAGGGAGGGCGGGGCGCCCGGCGGGAACCCGGAGGGACCCCCGCGGCACAGGTGCGAGCGCGGCGGCCCCACTTACTCGATGAAGTAGCTGGCGCCCTCCTCCGTAAAGCCCTCCTCCCAGCCGCGGGGCAGGTCTGCGGAAACGCCAGAAAAGTCGGGTCAAACTTGGGCAGCCGCGGCGCGCGCGCCCCCCACCCCGCCCCGCCGGCCCGGCGCCCACCTGAGCGGATCATGTGTCCGGAGTTGACGGGCTCCCCGGTGCGCGGGTGCAGCCAGGTCGTGCGGCAGAGCTGGTCGCTGCGGACAGAGGTGCACCTGTTAGCGCCGCCACCGCCCGCGGGGCTCCCGCCCGGCCCCCGCACCCACCCGCGTCCCCCCGTCCTCGCGTCCCCGCGCCGCACTTGATGAAGAAGACGCGGCCGTCCCGGCACACGCCGTAGGACCAGTGCTCAGGTAAAGTGTCCCGCCCGACTGCCGCCGCCGCCATGTTCGCCGAGCTCCGAGCCGCCGCGGGGTGGGGGTGAGGGGGCGGGGGCACGGGAGGGGGCGGGGGCGGTGGCTCAGCCAGCGCGGGGCCCGGCGGCGCCCCAGGGTGCTCCATTCAGGCGCGGGCTCCGTGGGGCGCGATCGCCCGGCTAGGGCCCGGCGTCCGGAGTTCGCCGCCGCACCGGCCGGCCCAGCGCGGTGCCCGCGGCCTTTGTCCCCGCGCCTTCCCCGCCCCCAGCCTGCTGGCCCCGGCGCTCCCCTTTGCCCCCGAGGCCAGGAGACCCGGGAGGGGCGGGGGGCCGCTGGCGGGCGCGCCAGGCAGCTTCGGGGCCCGCGCTTGGACCCGACCAACTCTGAAAACGCCGCGCGCCCGGAACGCTCAGTAAACCCCCGCCGACGCGCACCACGAAACTGCCCGACCCGGGAACTCGACTTGTGTGTGAACCAAGTTATCCCAGGTGCCTGCCATATTCCCAGCCTCTGTCTTTTCTCCTGTAAGGTTAATCGAGTCTACATGGTATCGTTGTGTAGATTAAAAGACGTAGCAATCGCATAAATTGCTTAGCTGGACCCTGGCACGTAGCAGGTGCTCTAACAACGCAGGCCAAGCGCGATTTCGGTTTCCCAAATTTTCAGATGGGATGTGAAGCAGGAGGGAGCAGGGTTCCCCACACACACCCCTAAGGTAGCAGGGATGGCAGGCTTGTGCCTTTAGTTCCTGTCAACTAACAGAGAGAAGAGGTGTTGAGGGCTGGGCTGCACGTCCATCTCTGGAAGAGAAGCGGCCAGGCGGGGCATCTAGTGGGGCCCTGCAAAGCTCTTTGCAGCGGCGGCACCCTCTCCTGTCTCATCTCCTCAGGGACCCCTCCCGGATCCCTCTGCAGAGAAAATCCTTCCCCTCCTTCCCTCGCCGTTTCATTACTTGTTTGCATTTAATTGATATTCTTATTTGTGTTTGTCTTGTTGTATAATAGTTCCAACATGTAAGCTGGATGAGAGAAGGGGCCTTGATCTGCCTCATACACTGCCTTATCTCCAATGCCTGGAACAGTGCCTAACTCATGTATGCATTATGCATTCATTAACTGCAGGACGGGTAGGGCACAGTGGCTCACGCCTGTAATCCGAACACTGGGAGGCCGAGGCAAGTGAATCACTTGAGGTCAGGAGTCTATATATCGTCTAGCCTGACCAACATGGTGAAACCCTGTCTCTACCAAAAAAAAAAATACAAAAGTTAGCCCAGTGTGGTGGTGGGCATCTGTAATCCCAGCTACTCAGGAGGCCAAGGCAGCGAATCGCTTGAACCAGGGAGTCAGAGGTTGCAGTGAGCCGAGATCGCGCCACTGCACGCCAGCCTGGGCAACAGTGAGAATCTGTCTCAGAACAAACAAAAAAGCTGCAGGATGAGCGAATGAAACATACTCCACACTCAGACTCCCGGCCATACACACACACCCACATTGAGCAAGGACAGAGCCACAGCTGGCCTCTGGCTGTCAGGCGCAGCCTTCCAGGGACATAGGCTCTGGTTGAGGGAGGAGGCGCGCCTGAAAGTGAGACTGTATGCAATGTGAGCACTAGTTATTCAGAAAGGTGCCCAGACAGATGGAATTAGGCTGGACCCTGAAGGACTGGATAGGTTTGACTGGGAAGAGAGCACCCCAGAGTGGAGTGATAGGAGAGCGTGCACAGAATTTGGGGAGGGGTGTGAGATGTTGAGGAGACCATAAAGGGTGCCTTCCTGGGGAACAGACAGTGGTGTTGGGGAAGGAGGCATTTATGAGTTAGAAGAGTGAGCTGGGGCCAGGCGCCAGCTCATGCCTGTAAACCCAACACTTTGGGAGGCCCAGGCAGATGGATTGCTTGAGGTCAGGAGTTGGAAACCAGCCTGGCCAACAAGGTGAAACCTCCTCTCTATGAAAAAGACAAAAATAAGGGCCGGGCGCGGTGGCTCAAGCCTGTAATCCCAGCACTTTGGGAGGCTGAGGCGGGTGGATCACGAGGTCAAGAGATCGAGACCATCCTGGCCAACATGGTGAAACCCCATCTCTACTAAAA